GCACTAGTCAGGAATTCGGGATGATAAATGGTGACAGTGGTTGGTGATGGGTACTGGGTGATGGATGCACAGATGCCACTCTTGCTGGCAGGATTTGGGGTCGGGGTAGAGGAGTGGAAGAAGTGCACTAGTCAAGAATTCGAGGCAAGAACTGAAGACAGCAGTAAAAAGGAAGAGACAACATAAGACAATACAACAGTACAAAGACAATTGAATTAAAGAAGGCCTGAACTTGTGAAACTTAGTCGACAGTGCACCGGCTGCCAGTGCGAAAATGTGTTTTTTGCACAGTTCCCCCGCAGGTTTTTGTTGCTAATTGCACAGTTCTTTTCGGCAAATGCTTCTAGCTAAAAGAACTGAGACCGGCCACCATGACTGTTGGAAATCGTAATGATTTCCAACAGTCATGGTGGCCAGTCTAAATAATTTAAGCAGTTGTGAAAGATAGTACTTGTTGCTAAACAAATACGTACGCGCACTGGACTCAGGAATGTGATTATTTTCTTTATTATTATGTAGAAATTAAAGGAAGAAAGAAAACTGATCAAAATCAGTATCACAAAAGGCACTTTAAAATATTATCACAGCTGTAACATACAGCAATTTTCAAGTGGCACTGCTTAGTCCTGAAGTTTCATATCGGGCACAGATCGGTTCGTGGAAGCTGGTCAGTGATACATAAGTGCCATGTGCAATCTCGAAATTGTTGCAAATGATATCCAGTGTAGTGTTAGCGGCTATTGTAGCACTGTCGACGTTTCTAATTGTTAAGCCGAACTGCCGTAGCATTTCTTCAAAGGCGCGGTTGTAAGTGCCACTAGCATTACGACTGAGGTCTCCCATGATAAGTATTAGTCCAGATTCAATGCAAATCTTGGATAGGAACCGACGAATGCAGTCATCAGTCGTCCAGTTTAACAAACGCCGAGTGAAGCACATTGCCGTTTTCTTCCATCCTTATGAATCCAGCAACATATGCTTGATTTATCATCACTTGCTCCGATATGAAGCAGTACGCTCCTGCAGCTCTTCTGGCAGATCCTGCGCGATCAGGTCGCTGTAGTGTCCGAAACGCAGTAACACTCATTTGCTTCTTTGTCAATGACCACGTTTCTTCGAGGAGTATTATATCACTTGTTAGGCGTTTTTGCTGTGCAGTGCTATAGCAGCGCTAAATCGTATATGTAAATGAACGTGGATTTTTATGCGTTTTTGCCTACATGCAAATTGTAATAACCAGGCTGGAACGCACCAGGCGAGCCAGTGCGATCATGCGTTTTTGCATCAAACTTTGAGGTACTC